TTATAAAATCCATTATCAATTGACTCATAAATTCTATCCTACGTTTCTATCCAGATTCATTCTTATTAATTAATTTCTAAATTTGGAATTTTATCCTCTCTGTGTTTAACAAGTACAGCCACACCGTGATTTCGCACGAGCGAGTAAAACGAAAACGACGTTAAAAGATTGTAAAAATCGAAGAGACACGGAGCCGGAAGCGCGAACGATTTTAAACGTTGCGACGTCGGTTCATCCGTTTGCAATAATATTGTGCCAAACGGCGACTGAATTATGCATTCGGGGCAACATAAATCCGCACGATAGTTAGCAGAGACACTTGGCACGTAGCATCGGCCATAGGCGATGCGTCATTAATGCTTAATGGACGGACATTAATTCGTTATTGTCGGTGGACAATTGGTGGGAGGGATCGATAGGAAGTGGCCTGGCGTAGTCGCCGTGAATTCGTAAACGCGTGCAGAGACAATATGCCCGCGATCGGCACGACGCGGGCGACGTTAACTCCGTTAACGCCAGCTAAGAAAAATGGGAATACCCGAGAGCTGGCGTGGAACGTCTCTCTGAATCAAGGCTTGGAAACTCAATAACACGGGAAAACGCGTGCGAGAAATCTGTCGAAATAAGTGAAACACAATGTCACCCGGGTCTCCCGCGACATTCTTCCGCGTCTTCGCGCACTTTCGCTGCGTTAACGTCACTGGCAATCGATAACCGGGCTGGCCGTCCTCTTCTTCGCGGATTATCGGATAGTTTTAACCTCTTACTCGTCAACAGTTGAATGATAGGACAACGATTGACGTCTCGCGCATCAGGCATTTTCCTTCCCCCGAATCTCTGTATTTTTATTGTATTTCACTGTATTTTTCTTGTTGTATTTGACTTTGGTTTCGGTAATTATTTCAGAGGTGATGAAAGAAATACTTAAGATTAATACTAATGTTAATACTAATTTTTCGATATTAGCTTCGTTACTACAATGGTGTAAAGAAATTAATGCAGTGTAGAACGTAGAAAAATAATTTTATTTATATGTATGCGTAAATATTATTCGCGCGTATATTGAAGCACTGCTTTTTGGTGTAATTTTTTGCTCTTGATCTACCTAATTGTTTTTCATAACATTCTTTAGAAAATCGTTGCCCCATCTGTTATTTTTCTCATTTCATAGGCATTTTGTTTTTTCTACAAAGACTTGTACGTGAAGAAATGCAACCCTTAATTTCAAAATAAAATATTAACAAAATAAGTGAAATACACTGTCAACCCCCAGTAAGATAAATCCATTAAGTACGGTTATACACCTCAACTTATCTGTTGCAGATTACATTTCAACATAATATCTATAATAACAGATTCGTCGTGTCAAAATCAGCGTGGCATTCAACGTATTAAAAAAACAACGACGGTGGTGTTTCTAGTATTGAGGAACGTAGATAGACTCTCGAATAATCGAACGAATAATTCAAGTAGGCAAACTAAAGGCAATTGTCTCTCGGGTTATGCTTCATCCGAGCGATCCGAAGATGTCGGAGATCGATCGTTATTTTCAACAGTTTACACAATTGACATTCAGCTACAATGATACCCAGGGAGCGGAGATACTCTCGGTGTAATCCTGACAAAAGATCTCCTGTGCGACCTCGGCTCCCGGACGGAAATCTCCCTGGGTTCGCCTAGAAATTCAATAATACTTTGTACGTGGAAGCGGAAAGTAAAAGAACGTGTAGATACATAGAGACCTCGTACACCGAGGCCAGAGGAGCAAGAGGACGAGGAAAGGACCGTGAGTGGAAAAGGGGCTGACCTTTCATTGATTAGATCACTCAGGAAATTCTACGCGATATCCGGTACCCGCCTACTCTAACCTCCGCTCCTTTTTCTCTCTCATCCGCGCGTCAAAAACTTTTGTCACTCGTCCCTCGCCAAGCTGAGATTCTTCAATGGTTAATTCTTTTTTTTTTCCATTTTAGTTGATTTTTTCTTTTTTTTTGTTTTTGTTTTTGTTTTTATTTCAACGAAGAGAGTATTTTTGAGGGAGAATCGAAAGAAATTTCTACCCGCGGAGGAATAAATTTTTAACTACTAGTTTCTGGCGCTCTGGAGAATATAAATGAAAAAGTCATCGTTTCTTACTTCCTTTCAACTCTGAAAGTTTTTAAAAGTTTTTGAAGAAGAAAAAAAGAGGGAGAGTAAACTAAGCTCTCTAACTAGAAATGCCTGTACAAATTCGGGAACTCTCGAAGAAATTTCAAACAGAGATGACTGCATCTTAATAAGAACGCAATACGTGAAATTGCAACAAATGTGATTGATCTAATCCAATGACACCAGAGAGTTAATTAGCCTTTTAAACGTAATATATTTCGTATCGTGCGACATCGTGAATTCATATCAGCAGCAAAGAGGCGCACCTTAATGGCGTTACTATCCTTCGGCCGTAGATAGCCTATTCCTATCTATATAGTAACACATATGTTTTCTATATACGTACCCACATACACACACGCACACGCACACACACATATATATTATATATTATACGTTACCACGAAATCTGATGCTGCTCCTGGCTTGCGGTTGACAAGGACTTGCGAATGACGTACGAACATCGATTGTGTCATTAATGCTTAATCATGGATAGTGCTTCATAATCGCGTTACCTTTGTCCTGTACGAATATTAGATAGCAGTCGATCACTTAGCTTCAAAGTCGCGGATCAAAAGGCTCAACTTACGTTCCACCGTACAAAGCCTGGTGTCAGTCCCAAGGAAATTCCATGGTAGGAAAATCATCGATGCGGATCATTGACTTTCACAGGAATATATTCACGCTAATCGTTCAAAAATATGATATATATCAAACGTACGTTCGAAATATACTTCGCGTGTAATTGCTTTCGTGTGATTGCTTGTTGTGAATTGTGATTGCTTTCGTGTGATTGAATGATTGATTTGAATGTAATTGCTCGAATAAGGTTAAAACAAGTATGATCTCTTTACGATAATAATTTCTCAAAGGTTTGGCTGTTCCTCGTATTAACACTAAAAATTCTACCAAAGGTAGAATTTTCACCAGGAACATTGAAAGAGGAAAAGAATAGGAAAAGTGTAAAATACGACAGAATACACAAGCTTTTATATATTTTCCGAAGAAACATTTAAATCTCTAAAGATACACTGTCTTACATTTATAATATATCTAACAAAAATTACGAATTGGTCATTTTGACCAATAGAACTTAAGATACTAGAAAGAAAATTCTACTTTCGTAATAAAAAATTTATAAACGAACACAACGTAATAAAAATCCGTCTTGAATTTGATACTTTGATTTGTATTTACCTTTTAATAAAAATTCACCCTTGCATAAAACACGTGTTAAAAAGACGTAATAACGAACTCTCCAATTTCATCTTCCTTCTTTTTTTTTTTTCCTTTGTTTCATTGTCAATAAAAATTCCCCGATAAAATACGTCTGGACGTCTAGAAGAAAGTAACGCCTAACACGTAGATGGCATAACTCTTTCAGTTCGAATCGAACGAGTAATCGGAAGACTGCGCGATCGATGTTTTCTATTTCTTTTTTCCAGTCACTCCAGTCTGTCACCACGGTCAAATAAAGGTGTTCGGGGTGGCGCGACAGGAAACCACGCATATACCGTGCGAGCTCGAGGCAAATCCACCGGAAGTAACGTTTACGTGGAAGTTCAATAACACAATGGAGGCGATCGACATACCGCAGGCGCACGTCAACAGCGAACGAACACGTTCCACGGCCTCTTACACGCCGATGACAGAGCTAGACTATGGCACTCTGCTTTGTTGGGGCACTAACGATCAAGGTACCCAACTCGAACCCTGTGTCTACCACATCGTGCCAGCTGGTGAGTCTGTTTTACGTTGTAAATTACAATTTTGCTTTTCTTTTCACTATCTTCCTCTGCCCGAGATACTTTTCTCGTATTTAATGCTCGCTTTCACGACGTGTGTGTGTGTGTGTGTGTGTGTGTGTGTGTGTGTGTGTGTGTTTGATTTT